TCTCCTTTGCGCTTCTGCGGAGGTCGCAAGAGGCCCCAAGATGGCCCCAAGAGGCCCCCAGGAGGCTCCCAAGAGGCCTCCAAGAGGCCCCCCAGAGGCCCCCAAGCGGCCCCAAGAGGCCCCCAAGAGGCCCCCAAGAGGCCCCAAGAGGCCCCACGAGGCCCCAAGAGGCCCCCAAGAGGCCCCCAAGAGGCCCCCGAGGCCCCAAGAGGCCCCCAAGAGGCCCCCAAGAGGCCCCCAAGAGGCCCCACGAGGCTCCAAGAGGCCCCCAAGAGGCCCCACGAGGAGCCCGAACGACTCACATCAGGACGAGGGGCCCGAACGACTCACACCACGAAGAGCCCGAACGACTCACACCACAAGGAGGGGCCCGAACGACTCACACCAGGACGAGGCGCCCGAACGACTCACACCACGAGGAGCCCGAAGGACTCACACCACGACGCGGGCCCCGAACGACTCACACCACGAGGAGCCCGAACGAGTCACACCAGGGGGAGGGGCCCGAACGAGTCACACCAGGATGAGGGGCCCGAACAACTCACACCACGAGAAGCCCGAACGACTCACACCAGGACGAAGAGCCCGAACGACTCACACCACGAAGACCCCGAACGACTCACACCAGGAAGAAGGGCCCGAACGACTCACACCAGGACGAGAAACCCCAAACGACTCAAATCACGAGGAGCGCTTTCTCTCCCTCCTCCTCCGCCTCGTCCTTCTCCCGCTCCCCCACAAGGAGGATGTACAAGGAGGCGGGAGGAAGGAGGAACAGGGGAGATATGCGGGGCCAAGCGGACACACGCCTGAAAAACACGACTGTCGGCATGCTTCGCGAGAGTTGCTGCTGTGAGATGGGCTGGTGGGGATACGCGAAGCGTAAAGAATTGGTTTCCGGGGATTGAACCCCTCTGCCGGGGATTGAGCTCTTCTACTGAGGATTTCACTTTTTCTAGGGGTGGGGCATGTCTGGCTGGGCCATCCCCGCGGGACGGTTCATGGTATTCCCGCGTCCAACACATGAACGTCTGGTCCTCTTGCGATGTGCAACTTGGCGTGGTCACCTGCGTGCGTAGTGAAAACTATACCTACTCCCCCCCCCCAGACCACCAATAGGACACTCTACCCTAAGTAACTCCTCCGTCTCAAGTGCCCCCCCTCAGCTTCTGACTCCAAGAACTGATAAGATACCCATATGTTATGCCAAAGCGTTCCAGGGCGAACGGGTCACCCATCAACACTACACGCCGAGGCGGACAACACGGCCTATCACGAACCGGTAGAACAATCGTACCTGCGAGGCAACAGTGAATACTAAAATGCCGATATCCACGTTGCAAGAAAGCTGACTTGGGCCTATCCACTAAAGCCTACGAAATAGACGGGAACGCGTCGGTGAGATCCTTCTTGGACCATGAGGCAGTCAACCCACCCAAGCAAAGTCGGCGTAGCATACGTAATTGGCACCCTCCTTCCGCCTACCACGGGAAACGCAGCATCGCAAGGCCCAGGGTGTACTGCTTGACGCCTGCTCGTAGCCCCTGCGAGCCACGCTTCCCCAGGGGGATCAAGTCAGAGCATTGCCCTCTTCCCCTTCGGACTTGGGGCCGAGCTCTGTGGGGGCGCACAGCCAAAACTGCGATTCTACATGTTGAGGAACCGACGGCCAAAACGCGCGCGCTTCAAGCCTTCCAGCACGAAGGTCGATACATGTGCAAATTCCAGCCATAGGCCGGCGCCAGCACCACCACGCCGCAACCTAGTTCCGCGCTTCGGGTACGCGATCATGCCCCCGATCTCCGCTGGGAGAACCCGCGGCGGTCAATCTCTTCGTTTGGGCGCATGCCTAAGATACTTGGAAATAGGAGCAAGGTGTACCTTCGACTCAACCGAACAAAACCCTTAGTGCACATCCACTCCCGCCGCCGCCTCCTCCTGATAGCCCTCCTCCTCATTAGCATCCTCAAGCTGCATGCCCCCTCTGGGTCCCGCGAGCTCCCATACAGACGTCCACTAGTCAGACGAAAGAGCGACGGTTCGCAAATACCGAACGCCGCGGCAACCTGGAGCCTTGCCGCGGCAAGCGAGAAGTCTGATTTGGCGGCACGCCTCCGTTGAGTCTCTTACTCTCCAAGCTTCGTCTAAAATCGTCGGTGATCGCCTTCCTCCAAATTCGAGGCACACTGCATCTACACTTCCCACTGCCCGTCCGCATCTGTGCGCACGCCTTGCAAGCCATCCGCAACTCCAACTGCACCTCCTCTGGCTGCTCCATATCGTTTCCTGTGCTTGCCAGGCGAAAGCGGAAAGATACACGGCGTTGCAGCAGATGTCGGCGCTCCTCAGCTTGCCGACGATAGATGTCTGAGCTGCTGGCAAGGCTGCCTCCAAATAACTGAGCGCGCTGATCTTGCAGTACACGTGTAAGCTGCTCAGAATATAGATCAGGCTTGCCAGCCCGACGCGCCTCCTTCAAATCACAAACACACTCTTCCATGGCCTGAGTCGAACGCTCCTAGAAAGTCTGTCGGGCCTCCCGGGCCCCCATGGCTTCCAAATTCCAGAATACTCGCTCCTGCCGAAGCGTCCCGGCCGACACAAACTTCCACCGAAGGTTGCGTGGAGAGGCCGGTTGCACCGATAATATCTGAACGGAATGAACTGGCGCTCCTAAGGCACCCCCCGAAGCGACTAGATCAATAGCTGCAGCAAGGTCAAACAACTAACCAAGCCGTCGACTCGAATCGCAATTTCCCAGCCAGGTGTCTTCCAGTTTGTCTCTAAGCCCCAGGAGAACCATCCCAAACTCACCCATCACATCCCGAAAACGTCCCCCAGCTCCCCCAGCGAGATGTGCTCTAAACTTAGCTTCTCCGAAACAGTCATTGTGTTGTTGTGCACCCAGCGCCCTTATGCCTTCGACAGTCCAATCACATGCTCAAAATCTAAACAAAACGCTGAAAAAAAACACGAGAATGCTGCGTCAACTGCGCGGGATGAAGCGCAGCCAGTTCACGATCTTACTCGTAGCTGCCGAAGTATGAAGCCTGGCTTGAAACCCTCGGGGACGAGGTGCAAAGTACGACCCCACAACTGGTAAATCTATTCCAGAACGCTTGATTCAAACTCCCAGTCTACGACCAGCCAGAGCGGGCGGTTGAAGCCATTGTCGAAACATATGAGCTTCGCTTCTCGAAGCCCGCTCTTCAGGGTGATAACAATCCCCGTTGTCCGAGTCATTAACGAGCCGCACCCGTAGCCCGCCTCCAGCAGCAGGACGCCCTGGACTTTGCGCTTCACGAGAGAGCTGTCGGGCAACGCGCGAGACTTGGCACAAACGAAGAAAAACGCTCACCGTTTCCTGGCGCTCCAGAGTGTTGAAGCCACGTGCAAAAACCTCAACGGAGGCATGCAGATGGCAACGCACGGCGTAGAAACCGTCAGATCGACTGTAAGGCACGGCCAGCAGGAGGTGGTGTCGCCATTAGATATGGATTGTGGGAGGCGAGATGGTGTGACTCGTTCCACCTGGACAAATGGGATCAGGCGGAGGAGACTATTAGGCGCCCCCTCGACCCAGAAATCAGCATAATGATGGGGGAGACGGCGCGGAGGATGTTTGGTGGGATGCCTTGGCCCAAGAATGAGAGACGGAGTGGTAGGAGGAGGAGAGAGAGACAGAGAGAGAGAAAGAAGATGATGACGATGCCGCAAGACACCCCTTCGTCCCACCCCACCCCGAATCATGTCACGCATTGCTTTCTACCATGGGGAACGCCTCTTCGAAGACGAGCACCCCATGGGGCGCCATTCAGATGAGAACGCCGTCGCGCTGTCGTGAACAGGAATCGCCCTTCATCCGTATAGCGGTAAGGGTGCCAAGGTGCAACAGGCCATGCAATTCAAACGTCTACCCAAAGAAACAAATGAACATGGTCGTGAAAGCGTCTCCGTGAATGTGTGTGTTGCACGGTTTCACACGTATCTACATGCAGATCTCCGACATGCGGCCAACCTCCCTCCGCGGTGCCGTTACGGTGGAGATTGTTTTTATAAAACAAACCCTGGATATGGAATCCAGGGTCTGGAAGCCGGTGGACCACCAATTGAGGCTTGACCATGGATGGCACCGCCTCACTCATCAGATGAGGAATCCTCCAGGGCCTGAAGCCTTCAGGCATACTTCTCTACGAACGCCTAGAAGTGCGCCCTCTTAAGATCATCGTAGCCGCTGAAGCAATGAAATCCCACGCGATCCCGCGTTTGAGAGGGCACCGCCCTCCGTCCGTGTAGCTGCTGCAGGCTCGCACAGGTAACGATCGCGGCGCGAAGGCGAATCCCATGCCAAATCGCATTCGCCCTCCATCCGTGGTGTAAACGCCGCACCCTTCAAAAACAAACGTGAACGTCGGGGAGCGGGCGCGCGGCCGCGCTGGACAGCGAAGCCCGACTGAGCGACGACCAACGAGCATCTTGCGCGGGAGAACGAATCGGGAAGTCGCATCGGATCGGGATGTGCGTCGGTTCGGGCTGCATCGACACGGAGTTAAAATCTAATCGGATCGGCTGCACCAGGATTGACGGCAATGCCATGCAAGCATCAGGTCGCATCGGATCGCTGGAACATCAACATCGAGACGGCCGACATCAATATCGAATCAGATGGGTCGGATCGAAGTTGGTACTGGAACCTGGCGGCCAACGAAGAGAATGACGACAATGAGGGGACGAATGCAGTCATCGCTCGCCAACCAGCAACGCTGAAGCATAGATTAATTGGGTTTACTGGCCAGGGCTAGCCGCGGCCACGACCAAAGATCCCAACGTGGGTGTCGGAGGAACGGCCCGAAAACGAGCCCGTCCTGAGCCCAAAAGGATCCACATTTCAATTCCTCGACTGTGAGCAAGGGGGGCAGGACGGAGCAAGGCGACGTGACATGGCGGCGCAGGAAGGCATGACGAAGAATAGTCTCGTTCACCCGGTGGCTTACACGCCAATGTCCACGCTGTTGACCCTCATTCCAGCTGATCGAGTGTCCACATAATTGAACCTAGTCACCATGACAAGGTACCTCCAGTGGGCCACGCAGCAGACGTGCACGATACGTGATGACAAGCAACAAAGATCATGATGGTACACAGAAGCAGACCGAGTCCGCTTGCACAGCCAGGCTAGGTAAGGCCAGCTTGGGAGGAGGCTTGGGAAAGCTTTCGAGGCCACCAACATTTGGGCTGGCTTGGTCTGGCTGTCTTGGCTGGTTTGGCCTGGCTGGATTGGCCGGTAGGTCCAGCTGGGCAAGCGGAGCCAACTTGGCGGGCACCATAACGACAGTCATAGTCACAGTGGGAAGTCGCACCTGCAGGCTACAAACGGCTCCAGTCATAGTGCGAAGACACACTTACAGGATGCTGCCGCCGACGAAAACCTAGAAGCAAAATAAAACATCCAGGCCGACACCGCTGGCAACTTTCTGTGCTTGGGGAGTGAGCCGGCCCGCTCAAAAAGAGCTTCTTTGCAGCAGTGCTGGCAGTGCGCAAAATGCACCAGAAGCGAGACAGCATGCTCGGCCAAAGTCATATTCTTGGCCTGGCGGCGCGAAGCGCAGCAGAGTCGAGCAGGCGCGCTTGAGTCGAGGATATTCCTGCCGGCCATGCTGGCAGAGCGATATGGGCAGGGAGCGAACCTGCACGCTCGGAGTGAGCTGCATCCTTCCTTCCAGCGCTGGCAGGGCGAAATCCACGGGAAGCGAGCCGGCGCGATCGGAATGAAGGTCCTGCCGACTCACATTCAATGCGATGTGCGCCGGCCGGGACTGGGCACGCTCGGACCGAGCTTTCTTGCAACAAGCTTGCATCAAGGCTGGCAGCGCGAGGTGCACATGAAACGAGCTGGATGGCTCGTGTGTCAATGACTTCCCACAGTGCTGGCAACGCGGAGTGAGCTGGCCACGAGCTTGCACGCTCGGAGAGACCTTCCTGGTGATATCCACTAGCGCACCAGAAGCGAGCCACCGCGCCCTGACGTTACATTCCTGCCAAGACGATGTGCACCAGGAGCTGGGAATAATATTGCTGCCGTGCTTTCAAACGCTGGCGACGCGAATTGCACCGTAAGCCAGCCGGTACGCACATGAGGCCCTCGGGAGGCACGCGGGAGGGGCGCAAGATGAGCACCTGCCCAGGGCACCTGTAGCAGCGAGTTGCTAAAACGAAACAAAGGTGACAAAGGCACTCACTGCCTCTTACCTGAGTTCTGCTCGCTTCGCACGCCCGAGCCGCGGTTGTCTTCGCACTCTCGCGCCGTCTCCTGGAGACGGGTACCCATCCCTCTCAGACACCTTGAATCTCGGCATCTCTGCGCACCTGTGGCAGACCTGAGGCCAACCTTGCCCATCCACTTGGGCAGCCGCGTGTGGGGCCTGCCCCTGCAGGCCAGATTCCTGAAACATCGGCGGGGGCCTAAGAATAAGAAGGCTGTCTGCAGCCAAATGAACCCTTAGCGGGAGCGTCCGATAGAATACCCTTGCGTCGGTGGACCCGAAAGGGTAGGGTTCACAGGTGATCTAAGAAGTTGTTTTAGAAGTCTTCCTAGCGACAGGAGGGAAACGAATGAGCGCAACAGCCAACAGACGGCGTAGCTTGCCGCCAATCTCCATCTTCATCTCTCCATACCTCTCTCTCTCTGCCTTTGTTATCGCATGCTTCACTGGAGACCTCCCAGATGAGGGCCGAGGGCCAAGGAGACGGGGTCGGAGGATCGCGCCGCATCGCGGATGCATCGGCGATGCATCGGCGACGCGGGCTATGCGTTGGCACCGTCGGCGCGAAAATCGGTTTCCACATCGAGCCGCATCGCCGACACATCGGCGATGCAGCGCGATCCTCCGAGCCCATCAACTTAGACCTGAATTGAAAAAAGCGCACTCCTGAGTACCTCCAAAAGGAGGGGCACCGTCCGTCCGTCCGTCATCAGCGGACACCCCCTCCCCCCCTTCCCGGTCCTTGTCGGCTGACCCCCCTCCCGCAAAACGGGCGCGGGGCTCGAACCGCAGGTCGGACCAATCCCAATACCAACCGACTGGCACCAATTACAACCGGCCTGACCACTTCTCAAGTGGCAAAAAAACCCACGGGTGTTAATTAGAACCGGTCATCTTGGGCCTACATTGGGATTCCTGGCGTACGGCAGTCGGAGAAAAACACAACATGAACGTTTGAAGGGTGCACATTCATTCTGGGAATCAACATGGGTGCCCTGGTTGGATTTGGTACCAGCTTAAATCTGGGATCTGGGAGCTGTGTTGTTTTGCAACCGCAATTCGCAACAGCACGTATCTCCTCAAAACAACAACATATATCCAACACAACAACATACATGGACAACACATACCACACACCTACACACTTTCCATAACAACACCGATCGAAAGCCCATGTTATCATTATCGTTGTCCTCGGCCGTTCCTTATTCCTTTCTTGCCTCTTCCCTCCTCCTCA